GCGTGGGTCTGGTTTCCTCCTGCTCAGCTCCTGGCACTGGCATTGTCTGCCCCAGCCACCCTTCCCAGAACACAGATCTCCCTCATCCATCACAGTTCTGACACAGGATCTCTCTGACACCCACCCCTCCTTTCCTCCCTTCTCCCATCTGACCAGGATGGATCAGCACCCCTGACATTATCCTGCTTCTTTCAATGATCCATCCATCCACCCATCCATTCCCATCCATCCATTTGCCTGAAAAGTGACCTGCTCACTTGTCCCTCCCCAGCCAAGAGCCTGCCTGTCTGTCTGTCTGGGAACACAGGACGTGCCTGGAGGTGGAAAGCACAGAGTCTGTGTGACTGTGGGTCACCAAAGCAATCTGGGAAAACCAACTCCTGGAATCTGCCAGTGACAGTTTGTAAACTGGGCTGCAGACACGAGATCATCAGCCTGTTCTTCTCAGAGACTCTGCTTTTCCCAGGCAGTTGCAAACTCAGCTGTGTTGAACAGAATAATGTTGCGACGAGGTGACAAAGGTCAGTGTGAGACATTAAAGGAGGGAAAGGTGATTTATTTTAACACAGAGTGTTTTCATTCACTCAGGATCAAATACAGATACCCCTTAGCACCAAGATGTATCCCAGTGATTTTCCCAGCATGCAGGCAACCAAGAGATGTGCATCCAGATGAACCCAGTGATGTTAGGGAAGGCTCCAGGTACTCGGTACCTCTTGCTTCAAACTGATGTGACTTGAAAAATGAAGTTTTGCATCTTCAGGAGCTTTGAAGTGGTTTCATTTTTTCCCACCGCTTGGGCCAGGCCACATGGCCATCTGACCATGATCTTCCTGGGCATCTCCTTTTCTAGGCTTGGCTCATCCCTGGGGCAGAGAAATAACTGGCAGAAGGAGACTCCTGTGGTTGGGTTCACACTGGTTCAGCTTCACACCACAGCCCTAGCACGGAACTACTTTGCCTGAGACTTCTGAGATCTTCCTTGCTGCAACTTTGATCCTAAACAGAAGGATTACTGCTTGTGACACTTTAGAAAGTCAGCATTAGTGTGAAAGCAGGGTAATAGCTGCATGTGCAGGGATGAACCTGGATGAGGACTTTTGTGCTGGAGAACATTGATAAATTCACTACATATATCAAATAAAATTCCTTGGGAAAAGTCTTGCAATGATTTTGAAAGTTAAGACAGTGTGATCTCACAGATTCTTTCTAGAGGCTGAGAGAGCATGGAAGGGATTAACATCTCATTTTGGATTTCTCAGAACAACAAAAACTCCCCACAAAAAAGGATTTTCCTCTTCAGCTCCAAACTAGGCAATGGCACATTCATTAAATGGTACACTTTTTCCTGTCACATGATGGGGAGTGAGGGAAGAGGGAGGTAAATCCCTGTTTGCTTGACTGTCTGTCCATTGCTGTGTGCCTTCCCTGCCTGCTCCCTGCCTCTTCCCAGGGCTCTGCTCCTGCCCTTCCCTGCAGCCATGGACAGGGAGAGCACAGGGGCAGGAGAGTTCACAGAGAATGGGAGGGGAGGGAGCTGAGTTTGAAGTGTGCTGCTGAGAGCTCCAGTTGTGTGAGACTTGGGTGAGCTGATGTGTCATAGAAATGTTTTCCTGGAATCCAGGGATAGGGCCATTAGGGCACTAATTAGGGCCTAATCGCCCTCAGCAACCTCACTTGAGGTTCCTTCCTACACCTCTGCCTGTGGCCAAGGGGGCTCTGCTTAAACTCGGGCCTGAACCTTCACCCTCTTCCTGTGCTTTGCTGCAGTTGCACCAGGTTTCAGGTTTTCCTGAGTTGTTGTTTGGCGTTCCCAGGCTGACCTTGGACCTGACTTCTTCCCTGGCCTTTGATGATCACAGGACTGTTGATGGGAACAGTTGATGGAGCCTGTCACTATTCCCTCTCTGCTCACCCACTTCAGGTGCTGGGTTGAATTTACCTAGTCAATAAGGTTCCTGTCCTGCCTCTGCTGGGCCTGCCCCTTCCAGCAGGGAACAGTCCCCAATACCCACTTCTTACAGTAACTTCTCTGCCTCACAGGTGCTCCCAGCCCTTTGGTCCAAGGCTGTAGGACAGCTGGGAGAGGAGTTTGGTTTTCCTCCCTGGGAGAGGGTAATGGAGGGCATGGATCCCCTGCACTTTCCCTGGTAGAGTTTCTGTATTTCAGTATCTTTCACTTTGTGTCCAGGTGCGTGCTGAGCTCCTGGCTATGGACAGATCACTCAGCTGCTGGGCTGGCTCTCCACTGGATCAACCTTTCCACAGCCAAGACTTCCAGTAATCCCTGCAGGACTGTGGCCTTTAAAGGGACAGTGAATTGTACAAACTCAGGTGTCTGAAGGGACTGTGATATGTCACACTGGATGGCTGCTTGAGGGGTGGCAAATGCCAACAAAAACAGATCTTTGTCCCCTCAGAGGGGTGCTCTGCCACCAGCTGCATCCTGGGTTGGTGTGGAGCTTGTGCTTGGATCTCAAACAATGCTGGGGTGTCTGACTGTAGGACACTCCTGTCAACACAGTGTGCTGGGGTCAGAAGGCTGTCTGGGATGTGAAAATTGTGACAATGGGTGCAACTGCCTCTGGTGTCCATAGCCACTTCTTTGGGACTCCACATTGAGCACGAAGCTTGAGAAGAGCACGGAGGGACTTTGTGTTTAGTCTGTCACAGCAAACACTCAGAGTTCTCAGTGTTCATGGACTTGGGAGTAATTTCTGTGTTTTGTCCTCATTTGATGGAGAAGTGAGGGGGGTTTGTGCCCTCAGTGCAACTTCTAAAAGACAATTTAATTGCTGCATTCAGACATAAAAGGGGAGAGGGCCAGGGCTGGCTGAGTTAACAGTGTTTGAGCATAATATCCTATGGGAGAGTAACAGAATCTGTCTGTGTCGTAAATAACACTGAATGGCTTATTTTGGTAAAGAATTTTCATTCCTGGCAAATGTCATTTTGCAACAACCAATAACCACCTGCTGATTTGGGATGAAATTAGAATTTAAATGCTCAGGTCAGCTCAGATGCAGTGTTTGGTGGGCTTCCAGTAGAGACTCTCACATGTCTGATAGGAAATAATCTTTATGAGTCTGTCAGAGGCAAGGGAATACTCAGGGAAGGAATACTCAAGGGAATACTTAAAGATCCTTACACTGTTTTATTGGGAATGCCCATGTCAGAGGATTGCTAAGTAAAGCACATTACATAAGGCTGCCCTTTGGGGTGTTAAGGTCTCTTAACTGGGACATATTTTCAAGTCTATCAGAACGATTTCAGCATCTCCTGAGTTTCAGTACTTCACTGTTTTTTGAAGCAGATGTTTTTTTCTCTTCTACTTCATTAAATGGGACCTTGTGTGTTTCATTGACTGTAAAGATGCATAAAGGTGTGTAAATGTGATCCTTTGGGATGTGTCACTTGCACTTTCTGGATTAAATCTGTTACAGAACAAGCTCAGCAATTTGTGTCCCAGCTCTCTCCTCCACAGGAAAGATGTTTAGCTATGGAGGGACAAGTAGGAAACCCTGAGCAGACTTCAGCTGGCTTCTGTGGTATTAAGGAACTGAGAATCTGAACTCAAAAATCTGGTTAATGTAAAGTAAAGATCAGGGAATTATATTCCCAGTTGGAAAGTACATTAAAGTACAGGCAAACCTGCTGTCTTCCTGCCTTGGCTATTCCTTCGTACAATGAGCGCATTTGAAGGCGTGGTGCACCTGAGCTGCAGTTTCATTCAGAGCACAACAGGCCCATTGCCTGGTGTGGGGGGGTTGCTTTCACTGGATAGAAGCAAAACCTTTAGAAAGGATGTTTGCTTTTGGTTCTTGCCTCTCATGTGGGCTAAGGCTGGTGTGGTTCCAGGCAGGTCTCATGGGACAGGGGGCTTGCCCACCTTCCAGGCTGGAAGAGCTCCAGGTAGAGCCTCTCCCACAGGCTTCCTTGAAGAGGACAAGACAGAGAAAGCTGAACTTTATCCATATCTGATTTTTAGAAGCACTGATGTGATCATATCTATCTGGAAGTATTGGCCTCTGAAATGACTGTGATTGGCATTCCCCCAGTATGTGCCTGTCCCTGAGATGGGTAATGGGGGCAAGGAAACACCTGGAATATCTGCAAACTGCAGCCCTTTGGGTGACCCTTGGGTGCCCGCTGCCCTATGCCAGCTGAGGAAACTGTGCCTATAACCTCTTCATTCCCTGCCTGGGGTCTTTTACTTTGAGTCTCTGTCTTGTCTTTTTCAAGAGTTAATCTCCGTCAGTCCAGGTGACTCTGTATAGATTCTCATAGCAGAGAATTACTATTACAAGTTTGCTGAGGTGTCTGATGGAAGTTGCATGTTCCACCCTTACCTGTTTGTTCCTAATTACCTGTAAAAGCTGTTTTTTTTCCAAAGGTGCACAGAGAACTGTAGGTAACAGCATCTGCTCTCAGCTATGTAACAGGAGTGCAGACTCAGACTGCTCAGTGTACAGTACAAATTCACAGTAACACTGTGACATAAATTCACATTAACACTGTGATCTGCTGCTCTGAAGGGCTCTGTCCATCCCTTACAAATCTGACTTTTTAAGGAATTATTTTTAAAAAGGAGTGTGTGTGAAGAAGCCTCATCTTTAACCATGCTTGGCCACTCACTTTTAGCTGAAATTCAATTTATTTCTTCTGTTAGGGACCCTGCTTATTCCTAGAATGGGATTCAAACCAGCTGAACTCCAGTTCCCTTTAAAACATCGAGAGCCCTTCGGTTGTGTCAAAGTTTGTAACAAGTTGCTGTGAAGGGGAAACACAATCCACAGACAAAGCAACATCCCACTGACTTGTGAAATGCTGAAGAATTATGCTCATCTCAAATTTGCTCAGCACCATTACTGGAATGGACTGAAATAATAACGAATAGGAGGCAGGTGCCCGGGTGCCCATAAAAATCCCAATCCTCTGGATGTCTCTCAAGCTAACAGCCCTGTGACAGGCGGCCCCGCCCGCGACGACAGCGGCGGGACAGCGGCGGGAGGGAGGCGGCTCGGACGGAGGGACCCGCACTGCCCCGGCCCGGCCCTGGCTGCCGCAGCGCTCGGCTGGAGAGGACGCCGGGCCGAGGGCCGCAGGGAGTGCCCGGTACCTGCTCCGCACCTGCAGCCGCGTTTGCTGCGAGCTCTGCTGCGTTCGAGCTCCGTGGGATCACCTTCACAAGGCAGGGGAGGTAGGGAGACACCCCGCACCGGGACAGACCCCGCACCGGGACAGACCCCGCGGGGACAGACCCCGAACGGGACAGACCGACAGACCCCGCACCGGGACAGACCTTGAACAGGGACAGACCCCGAACGGGACAGACCGACAGACCCCGAACAGGGACAGACCCCGAACAGGGACAGACCCCGAACGGGACAGACCGACAAACCCCGAACAGGGACAGACCCCGAACGGGACAGACCGACAGACCCCGCACTGGGACAGACCTTGAACAGGGACAGACCCCGAACGGGACAGACCCCGAACAGGGACAGACCCCGAACAGGGACAGACCGACAGATCCCGAACAGGGACAGACCCTGCGGGGGGACAGACTCTGAACAGGGACAGACCTTGAACAGGGACAGACCCCGAACGGGACAGATCCCAAACGGGGACAGACCCCGAACGGGACAGACCGACAGATCCCGAACAGGGACAGACCCTGCGGGGGGACAGACTCTGAACAGGGACAGACTCTGAACAGGGACAGATCCCGAACGGGGACAGACCATGAAAAGGGACAGACCATGAAAAGGGACAGACCCCGAACGGGGACAGACCCCGAACAGGGACAGACCCCGCGGGGGGACAGACTCTGAACAGGGACAGACCATGAACAGGGACAGACCCCGAACAGGGACAGACCCCGAACAGGGACAGACCGACAGATCCCGAACAGGGACAGACCCCGAACAGGGACAGACCCCGAACGGGGACAGACCCCGAACAGGGACAGACCCCGCGGGGGGACAGACCCTGGGAGGTTCATTTCTGCAGAAAGGGGAGCTCAAGTGACCCTTCTATGAAACCACATGATTCATGGAACAAGTGGGGATGAAAGGAGAGAGATGCCCTCTCTTACTCTGTTTTTCTCTATTTCCATGTTTTTCTGTATTTCCGGCTTTTTCCCCCTTTATTTCCATTTTCTGGAGGGAGGGGTCTAAGCAACCTGATGTTCCCTCCTTGGTGGGGAGTAGAACGATCTGAGCTTTATGGTCTCTTCCAACCCAAACCATTCTATAATTTAATAATTTTGATTATTTCTCAATTGGATGCTGGCATAATTTTCTGAGGAGAGAAGACAAAGGACTTTGTACGATTCAATGTGAATTAAGTAAAAGTTGGTTATTGTGCTTCTAAACATTGTTTATATTTACTTCTTACCTTGATTTATACAGCCATGTATTGTTTAATTGGTAGTTCTGTTCTGTCTATGCATCTTTGGATTGGTAGTTTTACTCTGTTTATGAGGTAAGCATACATTTCTTTCTTAATCCAATTGGTAGATGTTGTGTTATTTTACTTGTGTTGCCACCCTTATGTATGTTAGTAATTTTTTTGTTTCTTCTTTCTTTTTGTAATATTAGCTTTTTTCTCTATAAAGATTACTTCATTTCTTAGTTCTAGAAGGTTAAGCTGGTTCGTTTAATACGTGTCTGTTTTCTTGTAAATATGATTTTACCATTTTCTGGCTAAAGATGACACTTATTTTATTCTGATATTTTAGTGCTAGATAAAGAGAGAGTGTGACGGTGAACAACTTCAGAAGGAATGGGGTAGCATTCCTAGAAATGTGAGTCCCCTGGGACCTCTGTAGGTGCCAGATATTCACTGGTGCCAGCACAGGTCAGGTACTACCAAGACAGTGTTGAGATTAATTCTAGTGTCCCACATATACAATGGGAAGATGGCACATGCTGTGGCCTCTTAAGGTTCCAGAGAGAATTTCTTACCATTTATTTCAGTGTGAAACTTCCCAGCACATCAGGGAAGGAAACATTAAAACAGCTGGTCAGGCCAGGATGGGGCTTGGTTCATCTGTTGCCACTTGCAGGCTGGGCCACAATAAATTCTGTAACAACATAAAAAACTCAGAACTGAGGGGTTTGCTGTGCCTCTGATTTGAGGCAGAGAGGATGACAGAGATAAAGCCTTCAATCCCTGGTTGCATTTTATTGTTTAATATGCTGCATGCAGTAAGCTTTGTTAACCCTCTGCATGCCTGAGGGGTGGTGTCTGTGAAGTGCTCCCAACACACAGAGTTAATTTTAGCTGGAGAGAGACATTTAGCAAAACCCAATGGCTGTGTAGGGTCAAATGAAAGTTGTACAGGCACTCCTTGTTATTTGCATTTATGAAAGCCCAGACGAGCTTAAATCCTTGTTCTCTTCAGTGTCTCAAGGGGGATGGAAAGTCCTGGTAGAGGGATATGTCTCGTAATAAGTTGATGTTTAATCACATCTTTGGTGAGTCTTTATTAAATGTCTGTCGCCCACTGTTTTGTTTTGTGGATGAAAATGGTAAGTAAATCCCAGCTTCAGGACTGGAACATGCAAGGAAGGCAGTCATGGGAGCAGCTATTACTGGGAAAAGTGGGAATGTTTGGTTTATAGGCAACCAGGCTCCAACTAAATTCTTGACTGCTAGCAAACCCCTTCAGTCAGTCATGAATGCTAGCACTAAACCAGTGAGAAGAGAACTGAGCAAGAGTACAGAAGGAATTCTCTGTAGTGTGGGAATGAGGGAGCTGGTCTGCACTGTGAAAGCAGAGCACTGGTGCCTCTTGCATTCATTCCATTGGTTCTGATCTCCTTGTGTTGTGTAAAAGTCCAGTGAACTGCAGTGGCTCTGACCCTGGCTCTGTGTGCAGTGACAGCAGCCCTCAGCTTGCAGGTGACAGAGGGACATACTGGCACCTCAGGTGGGAAGGGAAAATCACCACAGGTTCAAGCTTGAAACAAGTCCCTTCAGTTTCTTCTGGACTCTACAATGTGGAGTAACTGGTGTTGAGGGACTGGAATAGGAATGGGCATCTCCCACTGAAAAGAGCAGCAAGTACTCAGTAACTGCAACATCACATTTACTTAAATTCGAATGTTGGGGGTATGGAAGAGTCACTGAGGCACTCACATGCATGGTGTGACTGTTCCTTATCCTGGTGCAGGACATTCTCCTGGGAAAACCAAAATGTTCTTCTGTCACCCAGCTGGCCCCTGGCCTGATCTAAACACACAGTGTCCCTGTACTTGCACATGATCAGCATGACCAGCACTGCCAGACTCACCTGATTTTGTGTAGTGTGTTGGGTGGTTGGAGGGCTGCAGGTACCTATAATCTTCACTGAATTTGGCCTTTATTCCTTATTCCATGTCCATTTTCTTGTATAGTGTTTATGGGATTGTCATTGCTGTTATGTCAAGATGGACTTGGAACATGACCACTGAGCTTTGCACATCTTCACCCATTTCACATATGAATATTTCTGCCCCAAAGAAGCCTTCCTGCCACCACCTCCACCCTTAGAACAGTCAGGACTGTCCACCAGGCTGCAGGGAAATGAGGTGTCTTCACCTGGTTTTTGATCTTAGTAATTTCTTTATGGACTGAAAATTCAGACAGAGTTTTGGACCTGCCATGTCTTGGTTTCTTGAGTTCTTTCCCTTTCCGAGCCATGTGAGTGCCAAAGTCTGTAGGAAGAGCTGTGCCAGTTGTCATTGGTCGGAGCAGGAAGACTTGACACCAATATTCCAAGAAAGGAATTACAAGGAAAAGAGAAACTTGGAAGAGTCTTGTTTCCAGTTAAAACAGAGTTTTAAATTCAATCTGAAATAACTGTCCTTCAACTGCTGCCTCTGTTAGTTTTTCACTGCCCTTCCTTAGGTGAATGGCCTTACTTTCAGGGAAAACTGTGTTCCCTCTGCAGGGAAAGCAGTGCCCACTAAGCATCCTAGCCTCGCCGTGACATTCTGCAGCTCCCAGTGGCACTTGGTGCCTCAGCCCTGGCACACAGGGGTTAACAGGGGGTGGGCGAGTGGAAAACAAGCTGTGAAATGGAAGAAGGTCAAGCTCTTGGAGGAGGTTGCTCTGTTGCAGATGGTTTTAAATTATCAGTCCCTCTAAGGGAGATACCCCTAGAAAACTGTAAAACAAGGGCTGGAAATGAGGCAAAACACAATCAGGTTTGTGGGATCAGTGGAACAGGAGCAGTTGTGGATCTCCTGGGACTTGCTAGACCCTTTAGACCCCACTGTCTGTCTAATTAGGAATTCCTCTGTTAAGACCCAACACAGCTATATCTGACTGGAGACTCAATACCATTGGCACTTTTCTGTGGGGAGCAAATGCCTGGAAAGGGAGAACACATGGGAAGAGGAACAGCAGAAATCCCTGTGGCCCTGGATAGCTCAGGCTCTGGGATAACTCTGCTTCTGCTGCAGCTGAGGAGAGCTGAATTCAGGTTTCAGTAGAGGCAGGTAAATGCTTCCTTACCCAAAGTCTCTTTAGAGACTTGTCTGGCAATGGGGTTTATTAAAGGTGCAGCATCCAGTCAGCAAAGCCACAAACTGCTGTCCTGGACCAGCAGGACTGATGTTTGAGGGAGCATCTTTGGGATGGTCATTGTCCAAAGCAGGTGAAAATGCTGTGAGGGTCCCACATTGCTAGAATACAGTGTCTGCTACTGAGAGGATTTTCCAGCAGCAGTCCAGATTTCCCAGATCCTTGTTGTCTTATTTTCTTGGCTTGTCAACTTTCAAATGGTTTATATTTGACTTTGTAATTGCTTCTACTTTCTACTTTTATATCACTGCAAAGGTAGCAGGGGATGTAGAATTGATGTAGAATTGAAGTATCTTAGCCCAGGCATCACTTTGAGCAATTTCATTTTCCTCTGTTGACATGTTTTTCTCATGAACTGGGAAGCTTTAAACACTGTCACCAGCAGCAATGGTTGAAAAGAAAGAAGGAATGAGGAAAATTACTCAAGAATTTAATTTTCACATTTATCTTTTAAATTGTTGGCTGAAATGGTGATTCCCAGCCCTGCGAGGGAGAAATTTTTGATACCTGGGTGAGAATCTTCTTTCTCAGGCTAGTGGAAATGGTGCTCTTTGTGGTTCTTCTGTCTTGATGCAATCTAACAAGAGTCTAAGCTGTGGCACTAAGGATTTTCTGTGTGTTCCTTTTCCATTACCCTCAGATTTTAAAATTATCATTTTTTCATGGGAGAGCCTTCTTCTGGTTTTGCCAGCACAGACAGCCTGTGAAACAGGGGCCATCACAGTAAAAACACTTCTCTTGCCACCTTCTGGAACCAGCCATTCCCCTCCAATTGAACATGAGATTTAGTATTAACTGGTTCACCGAGTGCAAAGGAAAGCAATGACTGTGGGTTCTCAGGCTGAAGTGAGTGAAAGCAGCCTTCAGGCCAGTCTGGTTTTGTTGCCTGCAGGTCGAGCTGCTGGGAGAAGGGAACCTGCAGTCCCAGACTGGCCATCTCTGTGAACATCCAGGAACTAAGCAAAGGCCCCTCTGCTTTAGGGGAGCTTTCTGAGCAGAGGAAGGAAGGCTTACAAGGTCTTCAAGGGCAGACCAGAGCAAAAGATTTGAGGTCACAATGCACTGAACTTGTACATCTGGGTACCTGTCCATGGAAATCAGGGATTCAAGAATGCTTTGGGTTGGAAGAGAACTTTAAAACCATCTAATTGAAACTCCCTGTCATGGGCAGGGAACTTTCCACTGGTGGAATAAGTGGCCTTGTTTGCTGCTCATGGGAAAGGGATCAGCCTGTGTCTGTGTTGGAAGAAAAGGAGCAAACTGAGGTGTGTTCTTTGGCTGTAGCAGTGAAGCTACTGTAGAGCAACTGGATTTCTTTCAGGCCTCTTGGAATAGCACAGACTGAGGGACTCTTCTGCTGAGGGCCAAGCCCAGGCATGGTTGACCCACACACAGATGCAATAATTCACTGGTTTTACTCCTCTGCTAAGGAATTGTGGTGTCTCCTAAGGACTCGTGGCCTCTGAGTAGGACATACCCATCTTCTGGTGTGTTCTACACAACCTGGTGCACAGCCTGTCCTTTCCTTGGATCCGCACAAGTGTTTGTCCTTCTTTGAGGCCCAAGGTCTTGCACTGGAGATGCAGCATGGCCTTGACTGATGGTCGCATCTGGCCAGGCTGGCCCAGGCCATGGCCAGCCTTGCCAAGGGCTCCGGGGCACCTCCCCTGGGCTGGGGGAGTGTGGGGCTATAATGAACCCCCAGGGCTGCTTCAGCTCAGTGTGGAGACACCCGACAGCTCCTGGGCACAGCCTCACCTTCTGCAAGAGTGGAGAGGGTGAGGGGGACAACAGTGTGCTGGTTTTTTTTGCCATTTAGTGACATTTACACCAGACAGATAAAGGGCTTATCTTCCTTCCCACAGGTCACTGATGTCTGGGACCAGGGGACCCACTGGACTGCTATGAAGAGCTCTTTGCTCTGGGTGAACAAAGGCACTGTTTTCCTGGAGACCCAGAAGTGACTTCCAGAGGATCCTCTCAGAAGCTCAGCTTGTAGAGTGGTGAGTTTGGCCATGTCACCACTGATTTGTGTGGGGGTGATGCAGAGCTGGGACAGGGAAGTGACACCTTTGTTGTCACACTGAATGTGGGTTTGTGTTGCAGTAGGTGTGGAAATGGTTGTAAACATTCTGGGAGTAGTGGGCTTCTGTAGTGTTTGGCTCCTGTAGGGTACACTGGTTTCCCTGGATTTCCCTGGGGAGATGCTAGGCTTTTGAAGATCTGGTGTCATTGTTCCTTGGAGCTGGCAGGGGACTTGTGGCACAGGTACACTGGGGTTCCTATGGGTTTTCATCCTGACAGTGAGTAGGGATATGTTATCTTCCCTTCCTGGCAGTGAGGCACTGTTATTTGCTCTGTGATACTTGCTGTAAATCTATTGCCTGTATCAAAGTCTGTTTCTGTTATGAAAAATCTGTGGCAGTGTTTGTGGCCACGGAAAGGCACAGACTGACCGGTTCTCTTGCTGCCATCCCATCCCTGCTGCTCCAAAGGGACATGGATTCACTCTCATGCTCACTGGTGGGGCTTCATGGCTATTGCTCCCTTAGAAAATAGGGATGGTGTGTGTCTCCTCTTGGCCTTTGGTACCAGTGCCACTTTCATACATAAATGGGTACAGGGTATCTAGTTTGTGTTTCTGTGGATCCTGAGCAAGCACTTAGGTCGTGTTCATAATCCCTGGGGCAGAGGAGAAGATCAGGTCAGGTATAGATTTACCAAAGGGATAAGTCACACAAAATCTGATCCTTGGGCATTCCTCCCCACTCTGCACAAGACCTCCATTCATCACTGGAAAGCTTGTGACATTCCCGCTCTGTGACCTGCTCAGAAGTTTTCATGAAGTTTCCCTTCTGCAGTTTGTTGGCCTTCAGTTCTGTGGTTCTAACCAAAGCATTTGAAATTTTCCTTGAAAATTGATCTGAAATGGGAACACTCAAGCTCAAAAGATTACTTCAAGTTAACAAAAAAAACACAGAAAGCCAACCCAAAGCGAAAAGAGAACTTCTAGGTGAAATATATTCACTGGGTATCTGGATCTCTGGGGTAAAGCACAGCCAGAATTTGACTGAGGTCACAAGAATTTGGTATTTTGTTAGAACATTTGTTGTGTCAGGACCGCCCTTATTTTTGTGATTTACAAAGAGAAATTCAAAGAGAATTACAAGCAGACAAGCTTTGTCTGGGGAGTGTTAGGCTGGATATCAGGAAAGGTTCTTCCCCCAAAGGGTGCTGGGCACAGCCCAAGCTCCCCAGGGAAGGGGCACAGCCCCGAGGCTGCCAGAGCTCCAGGAGTGTTTGGACAGCACTGCCAGGGGTGCCCAGGGTGGGATTGTTGGGTGTCTGTGCAGGTCAGGGGTTGGATGGTCCCTGTGGATCCCTCCCAGCTCAGCATATTCCATGATACATGCTCCTATGAAAGGGAATGCTGCCTCTTGCTGATTACTTTACCATCACTGGTTTAAGTCTGTGCTAATGGCTTTGTCCCCGCTGTGTCTGTGCTTGTGCAATGCCTGTGGCACATCCTGAGCCTCTGCACCCATCCTCTCCCCATTAACCACTCTCTCTGTGCCACTTCCCTACAGGTTTGGCTAATTTTGCTCACCAGTCTGCCAGCAATTACATCACATCTTGTCTGTGTATTGCACTGTCTGAAGCCCATAAATAACTCCCTGTGACGCCCCCAATACCCCTACAAATCCTCTGACTCCCAAATGTTTTGCTTATTCACTCGGCTGATTTATGGCCCCAGCACTGGTGTCCAGTCAGGCTCACAGGGAATGGTCTCTTGCTCTGTCTCATCCAGACAGATTGATGAACACACAGGATGAAGGGCACCCTCCCACCCTGCCAGGCTTGTTGCTTTATTTTGGGACATTGAAAATGTTGTCAGTAGCCAAGGGCTTACTCCAGCTCTGTGCTCAAAGCCACGGAAGCTTTCCCTCTTTCTCCAGTGGGGACGTCCCTGCAGCTGCAAAGCAGACAGACTTCTGCCTGCAATGAGGAATGGCCAAATGGATACCTGAACGAAGCTAATGCATGACAGGGATTTGTTTTACAGAGGAGTGAAAGTGTTGAGCTGCTCTAGTGTCACTCTGTTGTGCTGGGGGGTTAGCAGCATTCACCTGGGGAGGAGTGACTCCCTCTTGGAAGCATTTATTCCATTGAATAAATCATCCTCATGTGGACACCAATGTTTCAAGCACCTGTGAGTGAGGATATTAATTACACTATGACAATTTTTGGAAGGTTTTACCTGTCTCATTTTAAAAATTCTGTGATTTCTTTTTCTAGATTGAATTGAAGTCAGAACAAAGCCATGATTATTCATGTAACAAGGGAGTAAAAATTTTAAAAGTAAGCAGGGGTTAGTTTTAGTGACTCTGTGCTAACCAGGGTGTTATTTTCTGGTCCTTATTTAATACACAAGACACTGGAAAATGCAATGTGGTTGGATTCATTACACTGAAGGAATGTTCCCTTCATATCCAGCACTGTTATTTTAACCCTGCAATCAATGTGTGGCATTAACATGCTTCCTTCTCATTCTCCAGAAGTCAGGAATTCACAGGAGTTTAAGGACTCACAGGAGCTTATTTTTAATCCAAGTGAATTTTTGAAATCTTTAAGACTCTGTAAACTCAGCAGTTTATACATAGTGCACATAGTCCATGTTGTCCACTGAGAGATGGGGTCTGTTACTGCCTGTGCAAATATTGCCAGTATTTGGGGCTTTTACCAAACTAGATTTGAATTTAGCCCTCTCTCAGCAGTTTCTGTTATGGTAACACATGTCCGCTGTCACACCAGGCTGAGAATGAAACATTCTGACATGAAACATTTGGAGATATAAGAAAAGGCTTTGCAGCTGAGTTTGTACCACGTTGCAGTTTCAGAGTAGCTGCTCCTCTCCGCTGCCCAGCATGGAGGAAAGGAGTCGGTAGCAGCAAAGAATAAATGCAAGTGTAACATAAACAGAGCTTAGGAGAAAGCTGCTGCAAGCTGGTGTCAGGTCATCCTGTTTGTTGAGTGCTGTAAGCATCAGACATTCCATCTCCAGGAGTGGTGACATGTTTAGGAAGATACAAGAGGCAATAGGGGATTATGTTTGTTGTTAACGTGGTTTAGTACTGTGGAGGACAAATTAAATCCATAAGAGGGTGATCAAGAGCCTCTCAAAATCTCAGCCATTCACTGTGCAATGCCCTGCCTGGGGCAGTACAGGCTGCCCTGGAATCACCTTCTTTTCAGTTCAGTTTTGTGTCTTTTCCTTCCCACAAGCTCCTCATTCCCTTCATTCACAAGTTTTAAGACATCTTCCATGAGTTTACAGAAGTAACTGTATGATGTACCAGACTAGCAGCACACAGATGAACCCCTTGTTGTGGTGGGAGCAGCAGAGGACACCCAGATCAGGCCAGGAGGGGACAGGAGAGCGGGCTTGGCTGGTGCTCACTCAGCCCTTTCCCATTTCCCAGTGCTGTTGTCTCTGTGCATTTCCACTGAGGCCAGGGAGGCTCACAGAGATGTTAATTATTGCTGAGATTTGTAGTGTGTGCAGAACCCCAGAACAAGATTTGTGGTAAGGACAAAGTGGAGCCAGTGATTTTTTGTAGGGAGGTATCTGTAGCTCCTTGCAGCTGCTGAGTAATGGCAAAATGCATTTTGGTTCAGAAGCTGACCCGGAGGTACTGTGAGTGACACTCCCTTGGGCCTGGCTATGGTTTATCCAGCACAAATTATTTTTGCTCACTAAGTTGTCTCTTACCTTTAGCTGAAACCAATTCTCACCCAGACAATGCAGCGCAGAGTTGAATGTGTGACAAGGAGATATCACCCATATGTTTCCATGAGGTGCCAGGTGACAGAGCTCAGCTGGATGACTGCCTGGTGTAGGTGTGCTCCCAAAGTCCCCGTGCCTTTCAAAACTGATGGAAGTTGCATGTTCCTGTGTCCCTCTGTTGACTGAAGGAGTGCAGAGGGTAAGCAAAGACGCAGCACTAATGCCACAGGCAATCCAATCTAATTGCTCTTTCAGAGCTGCAGTAACTCTATAGTTCCTGAGCATCTCTCACATGACAGAAAATCTGCTTTCCCAGCTTGCTGCAAAGGCAGGGATGTGTTACATTACACATTGTTCAATTAAAATACAGGGAGAGAGACTCCTTTGGCAGAAGGTCCCCTGAATGATCCATAACAATAACTCCTTAATGCCAAGCTCACACTTCACCATTCCCTTCTAAAGCTTTTCGTCTGCTCTCAGATCTGTTGCTAATTTAACCAAGCTAAATGAGATCAGGATGTACCCCTGCTCCATGCCCCAGTTTAGACATCCATCTCTGTGGTTTTCTTCTCAGCAACTGCTCTTGCCATCCATCAGAACCCACCACGTGAGTGCCATGTGTTGAATGTTTGCCTGAAACACGAGAGGAGGTCTTTAGAGGAAAGCCAGGTGACACGGGGGATGCCACTGGATGTGTACATTTTCCATTCAGCCCTGCTAATCATCCTTATACTCAGGTTGTGTTGGGCATGACAGGTCTGCCTCTACTTGGCTGCAAGGATGTGGCAAGTGAGGAAGGACAAACTGTGTCACTAAAGGGAGCAGTGTTAAGCTCTGTCCTTTCCCTTGCAAACTGTAAATAATGAAAGTATTTGTCTTTTTCAAAGGAGAACTTGTAATCTGTTTGTGCTGACTCCGGAAAGCTGAGCAAAGCACCATGAGTAGCCATCAGACAGGTGAGAGAACAGACACAGCTCTGGGGATCCCTGGGAATAACCCCAGCTTGCTTCTCTAGCTTGGAGATGGCAGGGACTGACCCACCAGGCTCTGACTTGGCAGTGGAGCTTTTCTCATGCCAGATTTTGTATTTGGAACAAGAACTGATGCCAAGCTCCCCTGTCCAAACTGTCACTGGAGCTGTGAGCCGAGGTGGTCCTGGATTAGGACTTTGATTGCAGAATTTCCTACTTGGACACAACTTTGGCAAAGCCACAACAAAATCCCAGACCTTAATGCCCAAACCTTGGGACATATTTACAGCCTGTGGCACTGGAATGGGTGGGACCTATGTGGTTCAAGAAGAGCTGAGCAAGAGCAGTTATTGCTCTGCAGAAGGCAATTCAGACTGAGAGATTCTTTCTGAAGGACAAACATGTAAATTGAATGTATTTTTTTCTTGATTTTCTAGTAAAAATCTTCAAGAAATCTTCTATCCCAGGAGTTGTTATCACCCAGTTTGTGAATGATATTCCACAAGGATGCAGTACACCTGATTTTGAGAAGAAACCACTCAGTCTGACATTGCAGGAAGGTGAGACTTGATAAACAGGCAAAGCCAGAGATCTGGGGTTTTAACTTGATGTCCCACACACATGAAAAAATTATCATGATTAAATCAAGTGAGTTTCTAAAGTGATTTGATATGACCACAAAAAAACTTGTTGTGTGGCCAGAGTCTTTGCTACACTGATGACAATGCCATCAGTACTCACAAAGGTCTCCTGAGTTGTCACTAGGTGTATGCAAGACCAGCATCTGGCTCTTGTGTTTACAGCAAATCTGATGAATTCTGCAGGAAGCTCTTCACAGTAAGGATTTTGCAGCAAAAGATTAAGCACATGAAAAACCTGTTGGTTTTTCTGCTTTCTTGTAGAAAGAACTTGTGTTCAGCACTAAAATTAGCTGCTTTTTAAAGTAGGATATGCTGACTGGAGGTGCTGTTTAGGCTATAGGAGCTTTCCAGCGCCTAAAAGGGCTCCAGGAGAGATGGACATGGGCCTGGAGTGCCTGGACAGGGGAGAATGGCTTCCCACTGCGAGAGGGAAATGTTTGATAGGATATTGGGAAGGAATTCTTGGCTGCAAGAGTAGTGAGGCCCTGGCACAGGGTGTACAGAGAACTGTGGCTGCCCCTGGATCAAGTGTCCAAGGCCAGGCTGGGTGGGGCTTGGAGCACCCTGGGATAGTGGGTGGTGTCCCTGCCCATGGCAGGGGGTGGAATGAGATGGACTCTGAGGTCCCTCCTACCCAGGCCATTCCATGGTTCTGTGATGATTCTGTAAGGAACACAAGGATCTTGCACAGAGCAGGCAGCTGATAAGCCAAGAACTGGAGTCAGTGAAGAGCCTCCCAGAGGTTTCTCTACACCTGCAGAGAGTCGTTTTTTATTTTCTTTTTTGTTGGTGTGGAGTGGCCTGAGAACATTGTGTAGCTCCTTTTTCCTGCCAGGGATGAACCAACAGTTTGGATTTCGGTGTTCCACACTTACCTGTGGATTTCCAGGAGCCACTGAGGCTTTATGAAGGAGCACAGTGGCCTCTAGTGGAACCTGTTCCTCTTCCTCCTCCTCTTCCTCCTCCTCCACCTGCACATTTCACACACTACCCAAGGCCCCTGGCTAAGTTTTCACCTATCTAAATTTTTACTTGTGTAAATTTTCCAAGTTACTTCATTTTCAGCAGGTTCTTTGCAGTTCCTATACAGACTGTGCATTCAGGTTGGTCACTGTAATTCTGTGTCTGTGTAGAGGCACCATGAGGGCCTTTAATTCTATCATCATCACTCCACTGTGTTCAGTGCAGGGCTGAGCTGATTCTTCTGGCTGGGTGGTCTGTCACAGGTGGCAAGTGTAGGAAAGTGTAGCCAAAGTGGCTAAAATGTAACGCAAATAACAAACTGCAGTCAGACTTCAATAAGGAATAGTACTGCAATCTCAAAGGCTGGAAAAGGCCTTTTGATAAGGATCTGTTGGCAGGAACTTGTTACATCAAATAAGTTTGGTGGTGGTGACTACCAAACTTTCCACGGAGATTCTTTAACAGTGTTGGTCACCCTAAAACCAAGAATATTAAAAAATAAGAGAGAGTGATCATTTCTACCCTGAAGTGTTTCCATGGATAACTCACCTCCATTTCTATTCCTCCCACTCACCTACACAAGTCACTTCTCTGACTTGTTTCCCAGTGTTCCCTGTGGTTTTGGAGCCTGTTGGAGAAGAGGTTTGTACTGGGCAGTGGGAAAGCTGTTGGAGATTTCTGTGGTGGGCTGCTGGCTACTCAGGTTCCTGAGGAGCAGGGATGAAGGAAAGGAACCCCCTTCTCTTCTCCCTCCCTTGTCTCTTCAAACAGCAGAACCTGGTGGGTTTGGAGTACAAGATGGTGCCAGTTAAAGATTGGAGTGGGATTTGATAGAGTATATGTGTGATGAGAAAGGATTTTGACATTTCATTGGTAAAAAACAAGTCTGGATTTCAGTGATGGTCAGAGATGTCAGCAGCCATGTCTGGTAGGGTAATGCCACGTTTTAAAGGCCTTTTATGATAGAATATACACTAAACCTGAATTATTGATGTGCAAAAGATGTTATTGTTATTTTTGAAGAATGTTTCTGCACAAAATAACAGAAATTACTCACTCTGGGGATCACTCTTGATAAAATAAGGGGCTAGGCCTGAAAGTCGTTATGTTCAAGCCTGTATTAAATAACTAAAATCTTGTCTCTTTTCAAAGGCAAAAATGCCATTTTCAGAGCTGTAGTCAAAGGTGTCCCAGCTCCTGAGGTGAAATGGTCACGTACACGGAAAGGAATGGATGATCCTGCCAAATATGAAATGTCCTTCAATAGTGCTACAAATGAATTCATTCTGCAGGTAAAGATAAAATACTTCAGAAAGGACTTGTGGAAATGAGAGAAATGGACAATAAAAACCTGCAGTGGGATGAGGGGAAGCAGAAGGGGAGCTCCAATCTCTGCTCCCTGTGACCAGGGACAGGGCCCCAGGGAATGGCTGGAGCTGTGTCAGGGCAGGCTCAGGCTGGATCTCAGGAAAAGGTTTTTCCCCCAGAAGGTGCTGGGCACAGCCCAGGCTCCCCAGGGAATGGGCACAGCCCCAAGGCTGCCAGAGCTGCAGGAGTGTTTGGACAGTGCTGCCAGGGACAGGCTAGGATTGTTGGGAGTGCCCTATCCAGGAGCTGGACTTGATGATCCTCTGGGTCCCTTCAAACTCAGGGTGTTCCATGATTGTACACATCCCCAGCTCTGAGATAACACAAATATAAGCAAACAAAGCTTTTTAGAGCCCTTCAGGAACAGAAGAAGCCTCTGAGGTGCCATTGAGTAGCTGGTTTATGAGAAGCTGAAGGTGAACTGAACCCCAGCCCTTTCTGTGAGCAGTTTCTGTGCTCTCCCTTTGAAGATCAAGAGCCTGGTTCTGGATGACAGTGATTTGTATCGCTGCTGTGCTGTCAATGCCTACGGAGAGGCCTCGTGCTCTGCTGGCCTCAGGATCATCCAAGGTAGGACTGGCAGCTCGGGGCTCCACAGGCCCCTGTGGTCCCAGGTAGTGGCTATGCTGTCCCCTGGGATGCATGTCCAGAACTTTGTCTGGGTGTTCTTGGTGTGAAGGTTTGGTATTCCCCTCATTGAAGACTGGAGATCTTTTGGTAGCTCCCTGGCATTGTGAGCTTTAAGGCAAGGGGGAAAAAAGTGGAATTGTGCTCACTGCACTGGTCCATAATCAGACACTCTGGATTTAGTGCTGAACTGCCCCAATCCTTTCTTTATGTTGTTGAATTAATCAGTCCTTTGGGAGGGATGCATTCCTCTGTGGCTGTCTCTGCACCTCATTCCTGCTTCCCTTTATAGTCAGTGCAGAGAAATGGTCACTTGGTGGGTCAGAGATAACTGATGTTCTTGGAATCCACTTGAGCAGAAGATGGATTATATCTGAAGTGTCCATGTCACCTTCGTGCCTTTGAAGTAAATTTAGAAGGACCTATCTGCAGTTGCCATTTCCACCTTGGCTCCCCATCTCTAAAACAGGATGTTGATATTTCCTCCCACTGCTTAAACCATGAAATTGGTAGGGCAAAAATGCTCTCCTCCTCTGTGTGGAGTCTCCAGCAAACACAGACTCAATGGCAATAGAAATATCACCTTTATAGATGGAGTTTACAGGGAGCAAATATCAGATTGACAAGGAAATCCAAACTGGGATTCCCTCTTGCACTGGTAACAGATACAGTGGTTTCATGGCTCATTGGTTCACTGTTGTTAATCTAATCTTGTTGATCCTATGGCTTGTTTTCCTTCTGTTTTCTCTTGTAAATGATCAGTCGGCTTTAAGAGGAAGGCAAAGTATGTTCCTGTTCATGCTGCTGATGGTAAGTTAGAGATTTATATATGTGTATTATATTATTGGAGGGGGGGGGGCAGAGAGAAAAATACTCTATATGCCACACTATTGCTACCTCAACTTGTGAAGACTGGAGTAAGAGAAGGACTAATGAGCCTCTAATGTTCTGTCATCTCTGTCGGCTTGCTCTTTACCTTTTGTTAAAGTGATGATTTTAGACACAGTTTTGAGCTGTTCTAATTAGTGATTGTGGAATCATTAGGAAAGGAAAAAGGGATTTTGGGATGGATGTTAAACATGTCTGGATCAAACTTGTTAACATGGCTGAAAATAGTGGGTCTCTAGAGGGAAGCCCCCTAGGGAGAGATAAACTTCACTGGCACTTAAAGGATATGCATGACAGTGAGAACTGTCTAAGTTTCATGACAGTTTTTTGGTAGTGTGAAAGAAACACCAGAGGAAGATACCTCAGTAAAATGACCTGTTTTCAGTGGCTATTCTGCATTATCTTCTTTGGGGAGATGTATTTCACTGTGCTGGGTATGTGACTGTTAGTTGTTTCCCCCACTTTTGTAACAGAGCTCAAGAAGACACTCCTGAACTCCAAGAAGCTGCTGAGGAAGAGGTAAGGCTCTGGAGTAAGGGCCATGCTCCCATTTCTAGATGTTTCTTGGTGGTAGGGGACAGCTCCAGAGACCTTCAGGCAACACTTCTTGTGGTGAGACTCCCCGTGGAGAGACAGGCCAGAACAGCTTGGCACTGCCAGCTGGACTGATATAAACACAAGGTTCCAGCCTCATTTTGAGGGGTATTTCCTCTGCACCATGAGGTTCTGTCAGGGAGGCTGTGCTTCTCTGCTTCTCTGTGTTTAGCTCAGGAGTAAACTTCCTGTGCAAAGAACAACTCTTCATGCACAGATGGCTCTGGCTGCCCAGGGACTGAGCTCTGGCTCCCAGCCCAGCTGCACAGGGCAGAATCCTTCCTTTCCCAGGTGGGAAGCTGTAAGGATTGCCTGCTGATAATGATCTTTATGCAGAATCCTGAACTGTGCTAGGCAGTTACCTGGCCTGGGCCAGACTGTGCCAAACCCTTTGGTGATAATTCAGCAGTGTGGAAGCTGTTCCCTGGCACTATTTAATTTGTAGTACAGATGCAGGAAACCTGCTCTGGGAGGGTCCCAGTCTTTCCTGCCTGCACCTACAGGGCCAAGTGAACTACAGGAATGATGGAGTGAGATGAAAGAGAATTAGGCATAAAAAATCAGGACATCTTATTGTCTGTGCAAATGTCTGAATGTTTCCCTCCCTGGTTCTCAGGGTTGCAGCACCAAAACCGAAACCTCTGGACAAAGAAGCTGTGTGGCAGCTGTTGCTGCATGCAGATAAGAGAGATTATGAGAAAATCTGTATGAAATATGGAATTGCTGACTTCCGTGGGATGCTGAGGAAGCTGCAGGAGATGAGGAAGGACACAGAGAGTGAACAAGACAAGGTGAATAAACTGAAACCACTCATTTTTAACAAATTGTAGTTTCTGAAAACAGTCTATATCTTCCTAAATTGCTTTGGAGATTAACATTTTGTAGTATGACAGTGATTTATGACAATATTTTAAAGAACTTCCACTTCTTTACTCATGCAGGTGAAAATGCCAATGAATTTTTTGAAGCTCAGTTCACAGATTTTAGAAGATACTGACCACAGGGGTATTCCGTTGTCTCTGATAAGAATTTGGATCCCAAATTAAAAATTATATGTCTAAGAGTAATAATTGGCCTTCACATACAGGGGCATGTAGAGGCCTGGGATGGGCAGTGAGGGAGTGACCAGGAGGCAACACATAAAAAATAATTTATATACAGGAGAAAACTGGCAACTTACAGACACTGAAGCTCACTGTACCAGAACTGTGATTTACATATACTTCTACTACATAATGTTAGAGGTAGCTCTTTAAAGTGGATTTCACATTAATTCAACAGCTTAAGAACTTTTGTCATGGCAGCTTTATCATTTAAAAGGTTCTTCAATATTTCTTTGCAGTTAATTCACAGTCTCAAAAACTTTGAACACATCAAAGTCAACAAGGAGGGAAATGCTACTTTCAGCCTGGAGATGGAGCTGAAAAACAGCAACAGCAACGTTTACCTGCTCAAGGTGAGGGGGATGAGTTGGGCAGCTGCAGTTCAGAACAGCCCCTCAAGTGCTCTACAGAAAAGGCTTTGTCTGCTAGGCAGTGGCTGAGAGCAAATAAATGCCTTAAAATTGTCAGTCTTTTGCAAATCCCTGCTTGGTTAGGGAGCAGTGTGGGTGTGGAGTGATCTTTGGTAGTGAATATCCCTGTGGATTTGTAGATCCAAGTACAGAGCATGCAGTCAGTTACTGACATCCTTGTCTCTTCAGGAAATTCATAGAACAGTTGAGTTGGAAGGGACCTTTTATAAAGCATTTCACCCCTGCCATGGGCAGGGACACCTTCCACTATTCCAAGTTGTTCCATGCCTTGTCCAGCCTGACCTTGGACACTTCTAGGGATGGGGCAGCCATAGCTTCTCTGGGCACCCTGTGCCAGGGCTTTCCCATCCTCATGGGAAAAGCTACTTTCTTATATCCTATATATAATCTGACCCTCCTTCAGTTTGAGACCATCACCCCAACAGTGTCTTTCAGGCTGCAGAAATTCTGCAGTTCCATATAAATTTTATTCACTTTCTCAAGTGTGTTATTGCACTATAACTCCCTCTGTGAAAGAAGGTCTCAGAGATGTAAAACATTTCCTCTAGATCCATAGTCCCATGGATGGAATCTGCATGTGCTCAGTGCTAGGTGTGTTTTTCAGAAAGATACTTTTTAGCCAAACTGTGGTTAGAGGCTTTAATCCAGGGGAAATCAGAATGCCCTGAAGGGGAGGACAGACTAACTATGAATCTTCTGGATCAAATATATGACATGAAGTTGATGAGCCACAATGTAAGCCAAGTGTGCTACATAAAGTGGTGAACTCTTGTGCTCATCCAGCTATGAGGATGTTGAAATCTAGAAAAGAAAGAGCTTTGTCTTTGTAGATGCATGAACTGTGTATTAATTAAGTTTCAGACCCTTATGTGGGTAGCCAAGACCTGCTGTTTTGCTGAGTTTCAGAGTCTGGTGCCCTGCTCTGTGCAGGATTCACTGCCCAGACAGTGCCTGTGTACTGAAAAGAGCCCTGGGCACTGTGAGGTTACTTATTTATATCAACAAGGGGATTGTAGCAGCAACCTGTCCTGATCTGTTTGAACTGCCTGGCACTGGTTGAGCCTTTGTGAGGACACCCCTCCCCTGCCCTCCCCTGCCCAGGACGGTGAGCGGCTCCGCTACGGGACCGGGGATGAGTACAGGAAGCACTGCCTGCGGAGAGTTGGGAGGAGGTACTACTTCACTGTCAATGATGTGCAGCCAGAGGATGCAGGGGTGTACCAGGTCAGGGTGGAGGACGTCCCTGTCTTCTCAACTGAACTGGATGCTCAAGGTAAGGAATTCAGTTTGATGGATGTGGTGTGCAACTGTGACAAAAGTTTTTGGGGTTTTTTTTCTGGAAAAGTGTGTCTAGGAGCAAATGCAAAGCTCAGGAACTCCTGACCACCACAAAGGATTGGTTTTGTGCTGCCCAGTAAGGGCTCCTTGTCTGGTACAGGAAAAGGAGCAGGAGGGTGATTAAGTGCTTTAGGTGCTGCATTTGCAGTCCCAAGGGAGCAGGCCTAACCTCGAGTTCCAGTCTGGCTGTGGGTGACAGTGAGCACACCCCTTAACTCCTTAACATATTACAGTTTGCTTCTGTGGCCTCAGAATAATAACAACAAACTCAATCCAAGTATTGTACTGCAGGAACATATAAATTACTACAGACTGGCAGCACATCAGTGCTATGAGGTACAAATGTTTCAGAAGATAATAAAGAGAGAAATCTACTTTTCTGCTTTTCTGCAGAATTGGGCGCAGAAGCACATCTGAGTTTTTTCTTTTTCTCAGTAACCCAATGCTCAGAGGCACCACAATTTCCTGTTCTTTCCTCCTTCAGCTGTAGCAATTTTACTTGGAGCACAGAAGCAGTTGTTTCCTTCCCATAGCTCTCGTTTCCCCTGCAGCCATCCCGGCGCGGTTCCGGCAGCCGCTCTCCGACGTGCGCTGTGCCGAGGCCGGGGACGCCGAGTTCCAGTGTGTGCTGTGCACGCCCTGCCACCAGCCCCTGTGGCTGCACAAAAGCCACCCCCTCCAGGCCAGTGACAAGCACCAGATCTCTGTGACACCTGATGGCCTGACTCACAAGCTGATTGTCAGGAACGTGGGGCCCTCGGACAGTGGCTTGTACACGCTCGACGCGGGACAGGGCTCCTCCAGTGCCTGGCTCCTTGTGGAGTGTGAGTGGTTGGCAGTGGGTTGTTCCCATGGTGTGTTGGCACAAAACATTCTTGTCACTGCCTCATGGCTCAGGGAGATGTTGCTCTGCTGGGAAATGAATTGCTGAGCCTCTAATTCCAAAATTATGGCTGAGAAAACTGGGGGTGTTCAGTGTGGAGAAGGACGAGAGTCCAGGGAGAGCTTAGAGCCCTTTCCAGTGCCTAAAGGGCTCCAGAAGAACTGCAGAGGGACTTTGGGAAAGGGATAGAGGGACAGGACAAGGGGCTTCCCATTGCCAGAGGGCAGGGTTAAATGGGATATTGGGAAGGAATTATTGGCTGTGAGGGTGGGGAGGCCCTGGCACAGGTTGCCCAGAGAAGCTGTGGCTGCTCCATCCCTGGAAGTGTCTGAGGCCAGGCTAGACAGGGCTTGGAGCAACCTGGGATAGTGGAAGGTGTCCCTGCATGTGGCAGGGGGTAGAATGAGATGAGTCTTAAGGTCCCTTCCCATCCAAACCATTTTGTGATTCCATGATTCTAAATCCTGTTTGGAAAAATGAAGGTCTGGTTAGACCCTCTTTCTTCTTCAAATTAGACCAACTTTCCCCCTTTTAATTAGTCCTAACAAATCCTACTGGCTTGTTTGCTCTACAGATTTGATGAAGTAGCACATTCTCCATCAGTTATTGGAAAAATGCTCCCTATCTACCCACATGTTTTTGAGGAAGCTGTCCCAGTGATCACAGTGCAGCAGACAGGGGCTCAGGGAGCTTTTGATACTCTCAGTTCTACACTATCAGTGCCATTCTTCTTGCTAGATAATATTTTTCACCCTAAATTAGAGTTAAACATGCTGCAAGGAGACCAGAGGAAACTGGGAAGGTGGGAATACAGTGCAGGCAAATTGACAGTCACCTGGCTTATATTTGTTTGCTTATGAAAGGTGGTTCCTTTGGTTCCCTTTGACTCTGGTTTCCTTTGGGATCCTCCTGCAGCAGCAGGAGAGGTCTCTCTTACAAAGGCCTCTCCAAAGCAATGTAGGTTTCTGAAACAAAGAAACTTCCCATGGATTTCAGTGAGCTGTGATAAATTTTATCCGAGCTGGAAACCAAAGCAGTGAGTAACCTGCTCTCAGAACAGCCTGAATTTCAGATTAATCCTAAGCTATTCACAGATCTGAAAGCTTTAATCCTCAGGCTGGGCATCCCTAAATGAGCCATTATCCAGATGTGCAAGCTGCCTTCAGAGCAGTGAAATCCCAATTCCAGGGTGGGAACTGATGGCTCCTTTGTGCATGGAATATTCTGCAACTCCTCCATAGCTGGAGGGTGAAGGCAGATGGAATTAATGAATCCCACATACAATTTCAGCCCCACTAAATCAGACCTACCATGCTGGAAGTTTCTTTTCCTGTTATTTTTGGTCGGTTTGTTTGTTTGTTATAATGAGCACGTTTCCATTAAAAAACAATGTCTTTTAACTAAAAATAATTGTCTTTGACTAACACTTCATTGTCTGAATGTGGCATTGAAAAATTAGGATTTGAAATTATTTTAAATTTATTTAAATGTATTGTGTGTGTGTGTGTCCTAAAATGAAATTCAAAAAGTGCTAATACATTTTCTTTGGTTGTTGATGCAGTGCATGTTGATGCAGTGCATTGATTTTCTGTTATTTTGTTCCCTTCTTTTTCTGTAAATTGTAAATCTGCTGCCATGAAACAATGCAACTTCAGATGACAAAGGAAAGAGAAGACAGGATGAAGGAGAAAAGGCTGGAAGGGAGACATCTGAGTGGCTGAAAGAAACAATGGCAGACAATGAAAGGGCAAGGAAGCTTCGGCGCAAAGAACAAGCTGCTGCTGAAGATCGTTCTTCCTTTTCCACATCCTCTGGTGTGGAGAAAAGTGGCTGGAACAGAACAGGTCAAGGCAGCAGTCAAGGCAGGGGCCAAGTACACTCTGTTGATTCTGATGATGGAAGCCAAATATTTTTGGGAAAAGAAGGGCTACGCAAAACCCACATGAATGGAGAGATGGGGTCTGGGCAGTTTTCTGGAGCAGGTCTAGATGGAGATTTGGCAGCCAATGACGGCAGCATCTTTGGACTAAAAGGCTTAGGGGGCAGAAGTGGGTTAAGGGCTGTCCATGGCAGGGACTCTGTGTCAGGCAAAGCAGGTCCTGGTGGTGCTGTAGGAGGGGCAGGTGAATGGAATTCTGTGGATGGCAGAGGTGAAGGTTTGCTGGGTACTGTTAACATTGACATGGATGATGGAGAAGGTTTGGACTCTCAGCATGACAAGGATGGGAATTTAGGTGATGCCAGTTACAGAGCTGGTTTTGGGGGTGCTGGGAGGTTGGGTGGTGGAAGTTCTGGGCCAGATGGGCTTCATCCTGATTCAACTGGAGTGGGAGCCAGTGTGGGTGTTCTGTTCAGCAGGACTGGTCCAGGAACTGGAGCTGGGGGGAATGCTGCAGGTGCTGGAATGGCAGGAGGAATGAGGGCTCAGCATGGCAAGGATGGGCATGCCACTGTGGGTGATATGATCGGAGCAGGTATAAACAGAGAGGGACAAACAGGGACTCCTTATGGCAAGGATGGCCTGACACCTCATGCCAGTGGTCATTTAGGGCAGACAGGAAGATCTGGCTCATTGTATGGGCCAGGAGGCCTTCCAGGTAGAGATGGGGCTACACCTGGTACAGGTGGCAATTCCACAGGAGAAATGGAGGCTTTGTATGGTCCAGATGGCCAGGCACTGGGAACAGGTGCTGGTGGTGTGGGTGGAGCTGGTGCAGGGGAATTTGGGTCTCCCTATGGAAAGGATGGTCTTCCAGCTGGGGCTGGTTTTGGTGGGGCTGGTGGTCCAGGGGGACTTGGAGCTCCCTATGGGAAAGATGGTCTTCCAATTGGAGTAGGTGCTGGTGGTGCAGGGGGACATGGATCTCTCTATGGAAAGGATGGTCTCCCACCTGGGGCTGGTGGAACTGGTGCAGGAGGATTTGGAGAGGCTTTGTATGGTCCAGATGGTCGGCCACTTGGAGCAGCTGTTGGTGGTGGTGCTGGTGCAGGGGGATTGGGAGTTCCCTATGGAAAAGATCATCTCCCACTTGGAGCTGGTGTTGGTGGAGTTGGTGTAGCTGGTGTAGGGGGATTTGGAGCTCCCTATGGGAAGGATGGTCTTCCAGCTGGAGCAGGTGCTGGTGGTGCAGGAGGATTTGGGGAGGCTTTGTATGATGGTCGGACACTTGGAGCTGGTGTTGTTACTGGTGGTAGTGGTGCTGGTGCAGGGGGATTTGGGTCTCCCTATGGGAAGGATGGTCTCCCAGCTGGAGCTGGTGGAGCTGGTCTAGGACTTGGAGAGGCTTTGTATGGTCCAGATGGTCAGCCACTTGGAGCAGGTGTTGGTGGGTCTGGTGGTACAGGGGGACTTGGATCTTTGTATGGAAAAGATGGCCACCCAGCTGGGGCTGGTTTTGGTGGTGTTGGTGCAGGGGGACCTGGAGCTCCCTATGGGAAGAATGGTCTTCCAGCTGGAGCTGGTGGAGCTGGTGCAGGAGAACCTGGAGAGGCTTTGTATGGTCCAGATGGTCAGCCACTTGGAGCAAGTGTTGGTGGTGCTGGTGCTGTGAGTGCCAGGGGAGTTGGAGCTCCCTATGGAAAGGATGGTCTCCCAGTTGGAGCAGGTGCTGGTGTTAGTGAT